GATACCTGGATGGCTACTTTGCACTTTGGTCACATAGTAAGGAAAATTTGAATGAGTTCTTCAACCTCATTAACTAACTTAATGGATAAAATAAATTCACAACGGAGGTGGAGGAGAATGGGCTACTCCCTTTCCTGGATATTAAGGTTATTAGCTCGAAAAAAAGCAAGTTGCAAAAGCAAGATCAAACAACCACAATTAACTGATAGCTTAATCGAAGGTATGAAGGCTAAGTTGGTGTTGCCTATAGTATGATCGCGGTTTTCTTTCATTTTATAACAGTTTCTTGAACTTGTTTTTGCAACTGTGTCATATTGTCAGGAAGACTTAGAGGTACGCACCTTGTCCCGAGTCCATAGTACACATGATGATTTCCAGAGTGGGGCCGTGGACTTAATACATTCCAGGACCTTTCGCCGGCATCGTAGTCGACATCTTCAGTGAGCTTTGTCATTCTTAGCACCACACTACAAATAGTCAAAGAAACAAGTGAAGTCGACCATTTGACTGATTGTCTGTTAAACAGCTGTGGCATCCCTACTTCGGTCTGGACATATTTACCTATCCTATATCCTCGTAACATATTTTCACTATCACAATTATTTACTTGTTTATCTAAACCTAGTTGTGGTGTGTCCTTTTGAGCGGATTAAGTGAGACTTCTCCACACTCCCCGATGGTTCCCTCATCGCTCCTTACTGTGCTGGGAGTGCTGATCCAAGACTGGGGTTTGGTCCTCTATTCTCTTCCTCCAGGTCCTATTAAAATCGCCCTCTTAACCGATAGTTCCAGTTAAGTTATAGACCATAGGTTAGTTATATGCAGAAGTAACACAAAGTAAAAGAAAAAGTGGCCAGAAAAACATGAATCTATCATTTGAAAAAAGATCCAATTTAAGTAAGTGGCAAAATCAGCTAATTCAAATAAACTTAACGATGACACACATAAATAGCCACGTTACATGATGTGACAAAATCTATGGCATGCTTACCACCGAGAGCTGAGTTCATCCGGGCCAACAGTCGAGAGGTGGTCTCAGGAAGGTAAGTTACCTCAATAAATTCAGTAATAAAGTGGCGCAATTGACTGGAAGTACCCCCGGTTCTGTTTGAAAATAAGCAAACAAATTAGGGGGGTGCAATTTTGATAAATTAATAATATCTAGAAGCATCAAAATTTCATAACTAAAATGCATTTGAAATCATAATGTTAGCTATATTATTTGAGTGGTTAGATGTGCATACAAAAATTTTATGTTTAATGAGCTCTCTTAATCAATCAGCATTTGAAACAGTGATGGTTGATCTGATAATGACAAGTTAAAGAGAGGAGGCTGAATTTTGCGAAGGAGTCTACCGTGGGATGTATGATAAAAGTGAATTCACAAATAACAGAAACATTAGTCCCGACATGATATTCAAAAAACAAAAAAGGTCCATAATGTAGCTGTATCGCTAACGTTTTCCACTAAACCTGATTCTAACTATCATAATGATTATGCCCTAAAGAGCCGTGCATTTTCCATTCACCTTGATGGGCGACTGGCTTGTCGCTGTTGGTAATAGATTGTTTAACAGTTGCAGAAACCACAAGAGAGATTTAAATAGCAAATGTGAAGATTAAGAGATAGACATTACTGCCTATTTTGAAATCGAGATGGAGATACGCTTTGAATAGAAAACATGAAATTCTAGGTTCGTCACGCCGATTTTTTGCCTCCGCTAATGAATATAATTTAATCATAAGTTAAAGTTGTCAACCAAAGTTACGTCTTAATTAGTATAAATAACAGAAATATACTCTTTAAAATACTAGTGGTCAAGCTAGTTGAATAAAATGAAGGAATAATATCACCAAGACTGCCAAAAATATAAATATCACGCTAATGAGAACATGACTTTTGTCTTTCTATTCTCTCGATAAAGGTAAGGTAAGCGAAGAAATTCCAGTGGTCAATGTAATATAAGTCCTGTAACCACAAACCATTTACAAATATTCTTATGCAAATAATCTACGATTCTATGAGGAAAATAAAAACCCTCAATGGATAAAATAAGCGGACTGTCATTATGAATTCATGTCTTCCATCTATTAAGCCAGGTCTATTAGGCCAAGTATAAAATATCAGTCCATGTGGATGCATTCATTTTGGTCTGATATCAAGAATTCAAATAGCTAATATGCGAAAAAATGATATCGAAATCAGAAATTAACTCAAACGATCCAACTATAATAGCATTAGTTAAATTAATTATAATAGTTAGTAGTTAATAAGATAGTGTGTTGCGAAGAAATAAGAAAGTATAGAGATGAAAGTGGGTACATAAGAAAGTCAAAATGCTTTCTATACATACAATATAAAAGCTAGATATATGAAATTTTTGCCTAATAGGTAATAACTCGGATACCTTACACACTTTTAAGCTATTTCGCTCTCCGTGAGTCCCACGATAAGTTAATGAGCAAAATAAAATTGTATTATTATTATAATGACCTTAAAATATGTACCTATATTCTTTTTATAGCTTACCGGATAAATTGATTACATACGCATAAAAAAGTTATTTTGTGAATCTGTTATCTTGGGATGAAGGTAAATAATAATCCGATCCGTAAACAAACAAGAATAACATTTTGTAACTTTAGAAAACATTACTAGTGGGACAGGGTTAATGATATTATTCACTAGGCCTCCATTCGGAAGTGAAGAGAAACTTATGATATGGAAAAGAATAAGGCAACAAAGTTTAGATAGATTAATCAAAGCTCTGGTGTGATCTGGTCGCGAAGCAGATTCACTACTAGCCAAATAAGAAACCAAGGAAAACGTTTACCTTTCAATCGAAGCTAGAGCTCTTGAGTTAGAATAGATATCAAAGAAGAAGCAACTGTTGTATTTTATTAACCCATATTACGTTATAAAGGATGCAAATTATGGGCATATAATTCCCTTATTCTAACTTGCTAGCTTTTTTTAACTAATAATAATCTGAATAAAATAATATACTAGGATAAATAGAATACATGCGATATTATTAGAAAAATATCAGCTTGACTATAAGTTCTCATGCTTTACAATATCATCAAAATACACCGTCAAATACAAAACGATACTGAGGTAAACTCTGTTAAATCCTATGTATTAAAACTGGGTTTCCTTCTTTATCAGAAGGATAGGCAGATATGGGCTTACTCTGCCTCAATAGCTCGAATGAAGCCCATTATGATGGAGTAGATGACAATTATATTGTCCAAAGAGGGCCTACAGACCAACGGGTAGGCATGCCCAGCCCCGAAAATTCCAGGTGCGCTACCACGTCCACCTCCCCCCCAGGTAGTCAGAGTAACCCCCGAGGAAGAGACCAAGCTACCTCCGCCTGAAGGCCCGCTGAGGACGCCAGACGGTCCCGTTACCCCGGGTGTAGCTCCAGGGCAACTTCGCACCTCAGAAGGCCCACCATGCAGACCATGGCCAGCCATTACCCAATTGTGTCCCACAGAAGAACCATCTGTGGAGGTGGAAACAAGGCCGACCTTGGAAGACATCATTTCTGCGGTTGGCAGCTCGGGATTTGGCTGTGACAAATATGAAAAACGTAAAAGGTGTGAAAATGAGATAGGGGTTATAAGCTTTTATGAGCCAAGTAGAGTTCAAACACACAAACCCAGGGCGAATATAAGTGAAAACGTACGGGAAAATTTAGCCTTAGGAAACTCCAAAACCCGCTTTCGTAAGCATTCAGTTAAAGCAAGCAATGGCAAGAATAGTTAGCGATTATCATTGCAAGACAAAGAATCAGCTTAAGTTTGTCCGAATGAAGCAAAGAAAAGAAAAAACATTACCACATATTTGGAATGTTATTAACATGATAACAAGACAAAAAGAAATAGGGGAATACTATATCAAAAAGGATGTTTTAATTATACCAAGCTATCTACAATTACTGTTAAAAGCTTCAAGACGGCACCGCTACAACCAACCGTGCTCATGCGATACCTGGATGATTACTTCGCACTATG